CCGCGGGGCGTGCCGAGGGCGTGCGAGGTGCACTGTGCGCCGGGTGCGCCGATCGCGTCGTCGTGTCACCGGACATCGGGCCCTCGTTGGCCGCTAGATTATCCGCGGGTCGTGCCGAGGGCGTGCGAGGTGCACTGTGCGCCGGGTGCGCCGATCGCGTCGTCGTGTCACCGGACATCGGGCCCTCGTTGGCCGCTAGATTATCCGCGGGTCGTGCCGAGGGCGTGCGAGGTGCACTGTGCGCCGGGTGCGCCGATCGCGTCGTCGTGTCACCGGACATCGGGCCCTCGTTGGCCGCTAGATTTTCCGCGGGTCGTGCCGAGGGCGTGCGAGGTGCACTGTGCGCCGGGTGCGCCGATCGCGTCGTCGTGTCACCGGACATCGGGCCCTCGTTGGCCGCTAGATTATCCGCGGGTCGTGCCGAGGGCGTGCGAGGTGCACTGTGCGCCGGGTGCGCCGATCGCGTCGTCGTGTCACCGGACATCGGGCCCTCGTTGGCCGCTAGATTATCCGCGGGGCGTGCCGAGGGCGTGCGAGGTGCACTGTGCGCCGGGTGCGCCGATCGCGTCGTCGTGTTACCGGACATCGGGCCCTCGGTGGCCGCTAGATTATCCGCGGGTCGTGCCGAGGGCGTGCGAGGTGCACTGTGCGCCGGGTGCGCCGATCGCGTCGTCGTGTCACCGGACATCGGGCCCTCGTTGGCCGCTAGATTATCCGCGGGTCGTGCCGAGGGCGTGCGAGGTGCACTGTGCGCCGGGTGCGCCGATCGCGTCGTCGTGTCACCGGACATCGGGCCCTCGTTGGCCGCTAGATTATCCGCGGGTCGTGCCGAGGGCGTGCGAGGTGCACTGTGCGCCGGGTGCGCCGATCGCGTCGTCGTGTCACCGGACATCGGGCCCTCGTTGGCCGCTAGATTATTCGCAGGCCGTTGAGCTGGCACCAGGTCAGTTTTCTTGTGCACAAATTCTCTCTTCGTTGTAGTTTCTCCTACCATGACTCCGGGTTCGGGTTTGAGCGTATCTTTTGGGCGTTGCTCGGGCTCGCGCGCCTTGATAGGCATTGCTCGGAACGTTGACTTGTTCGTTGTTTCTCGTGAACTTGGTCCTTCTACTACGCACAAATTGTCGACTGGCTTTTTCACTGGAGTTCGTGGCAATGGCGCAAACGCTTGATGCGCTGACTTTGAGCTCGTGTCATCGCGGCTTGACATTTTGACATGCGGCGCATTGATGCCTGCTGAACCACCCTTGACTTCGTTTCTGCGCTGTAGAATCTGGGAAAGGGATGACGAAGACATCTCCACGGGTTCATCAAACTGACCAGCTTGTTTGCTTTCTGCAGGAGTAGGTGTCGACTTGGTGTTCCGATCTTTGCGCTTTGCGACCTTGGTCCTATCATCGGTTCCCTTGCGTAAGTTGCGTTGCCACTTTGAGGCAGGTTCATCAAAGCGGTGCTTGACCTCACGGCGAGAAACGCTTGGTGCTCCTGCTGTTTTTTCGCGATTGCTGATGCCAGGCTGTTCGCGTCGGACACGATATGTACGTTGGCGCTGCTTCTTCGCTTTGGCCTCGGTTTTTGAGGTCGGCTCAGCTGGCTGAGGCATTGCTGCGGTTACATTGGTTCCGCTGCCGCTAGCAGAAGCGGTTTCGGGAGTTTTGCGACGGGCAGGAAGCCAGCGCGTAATGCCTGTGGTGCGCCTTTGCGATGCCTGCTGCGCGGTTGCAGCGCGCACACTGCGGACGTTTGACGCTTTGCTGGAAGCATCAGCTTGTGAAGTAGCGGCACTGGCAATTGCCGTCGCGTTTGGGGTTGTTGAAGGCGTTTTCGTGCTTGAAAGGGGCGTCGATCCGGAGGGTGAATTGCCCAATGCGTGTTTGGCACCTTTGTCCTGGTTGGCGGCACCGGACTTTGGCGCGGTAGAGCTTTTGCCTGTAATTGGATTATAACGGCGAGCAGAACTAGTCGTCACATTGGCTGTCACATTGTCAATGGAACGGGTTTTCCGTGGGACCACGCTCGAAGGTTCCAGAGTTGCCGTCGCAGACGATGAGCGTTCGCTGACGTGTTGACTGGAGCGGGTGCCTCGTGCAGCTGTGTTTGCAGCGGTAGCTGTCGCAGTTGCTCCCGAGGCTGGGAGTTGACTGGAAGCGGGTGGTGCGGTTGTTAGAATGGCTGGATGATCGAGCTGCTGCTCAGGGAAGGCACTTAAAGTAAAGGTATCGCGCCGTGGGCGTTGGCCTGGAGCACCGGCCGCCTGAGAAAAAAGACCGAGCGAGGATGATGAGTGGGAGTGCGATTACAATCCGCTGGACCTGCTGAGTGGCAGGGAAGGATTGCGACAAAGGATCGTACGTCGCCAGCTCGGCGCAATGTGATGGTGTTACTCCTGGCCCGGCTTGGTCGGGTGGCTGTGCTCTCGCCGAAAATACCAGCATCTTGGGGGCGCTGGCCTCGCGTTTTCACTGGGACCGGCTCATGGGCACGAAGCTATCATACACCAGTTGAAATTGAGCAGGCGGCCAAAGGGTTCAAACCATCGGCACTGCTGAGAGAACGAAAAGGGGGGCGGGGAGGGGGGCGCTGGACTCAAACAAGAGCACCATACACGTGTTACAAACTTTTGGAACGTACGTGGGGAACATTGGAAGTACGGCGCGCAGCCGGGGCTGGCATGGCGCCGCCATCTGCCGCCAGCCAAGGGAAGGACATGCTGCCCCGATATACTTTCCCGAACCAAATGCACTTTACAACCAAAAAGCACGCGCCCTTGACCAGACCGCACCCCGATCTCCGCAATCGGAGCGCCTCGAGCGACCGCTCACGAGCTCTGCACTGAACGAAAACATTACACACACACACACACACACACACTTGCGCACTGACTGTCATCCATTATCACACACACCCACACACACACAACGTTTTGGCCTTGAAGAAGTTGGGTGTTGTATTGGCATGGGGTGGGTGGTCGGCAGTTGAGTTGGAGAAGCAGGGTGGAGAGGCAAGCGGTCGGCGCGCGCGCTGCCGACATGACATTCAGGAGTTGTGACCCCCCCGCTGACTGCCTGGCTGCCGTTTGGCCATAGCATCGCCTTGCTGCAACCCGACCAGAACAGCACAGAAGGTCAAGGGGTTCCCCTCGATCAGATGCAAAGAGTTGGGACCCAGTTTTTCCCCCTAGATCAATTCAAGTTGGCGCAGATCAAGCGGATCCGTGTTGCATGCATGGATGACATCAACCTAAAGCGTGTTTAATGATACAGTTTGGTCTGTCTGATGTTCTGTCTGACGTTCTGTAGGGCGTTGGTGTTGCTTGGCGTGGCGGGTTGGGGAGATGTCTTACGAGAACAAAAGGTGGCCTTTGGCTGGGGTGCCGGTGCCTTGGAGGATGGCGGCGTGTGAAGGAGCGTGAGGGGTGGAGCGTGAAATGGACGAATGAGTTGGGGCCAAAGTACATGTTTAAAGATGAAGCACAAGGGTAAGGCAACATTTTGGATTGAGCAGACAGGAAGCACCATTTGTACACTGGGAAAGTTGGCTCGTCGCTCACACAACAAAAGCTTGACATCAAATGTTGATAAACTGATAAACAGGCACCCGCCAAATCTATTCAGCAATGGACATAAAGGCGGAGCTAGGCGCAAACAGCGTTGCCGGCTGTCGCCGATAATTGTGAGGCTTTAAGCTCACGCCGGTCGGCACGTTCCAACCACCGCCAACAGCACCGGCACGGCGGTGCAGCGACGGCTGTGGATAGCCGGTCACAGACCCCGGCTGCTCTCTGTGATGGCGACCATCCGCTTGAGTCGAGCTGGGTTGTGGTGCAGAGTGATGTTGGGCCTGACGTCCAGGGCCCACGGGATCAGAGGTTGGAATTTGTAGAACCCGTCCAAAGCGGTCGAGTACGGCTTGTGTCTCGTGTCCCGAAACCGGTCGTGTGGACTGCGAGTGTGATGGTGAGCCTTCCACTGGCGCGATGGAAATGGGCAGGGGCTGATGACTACGCGCAAACATGCCCTTGCCAATGCCAGAGCTGCCTTGAGGTGAGGACAGGGCAGCCGGGGGACCACGCGCTCTTGGGCTGGTGCCCTGTCGACCGGGCATAAGGCTTGCGTGCAGTGCATGCTGCTCATAGCGCCGCGGCTGCCGGCTGTCCATGTCTGGAACCTGAACGCGAGCGAGCGCGTTGGAGGCGGCGGCACGCTGGTGGTCCAGGTGATGCGCCACATTCTGCATGTTAAGGTGCGACGAATCACCATTGAGACGAGCGCGCGCGCCGCCACTCGACAACGAGCCTGCGCTGCCATTGGGAGAAGCCCCGTCCAAGGTTCCACCCATGGCATGGCTCGTCTTTCGAAGAGACCCACTACCAGTAGCCACGAGGCCCTCGCTTCCGCCACTGCCACCACTGCTGAAACGGCCAAAGCGCGATGGTGTGGGCAAGGCTGAGGGGGCCAGGGACAGAGGATTGACAGCGTTATTCGCAGCCCCTGGAACACGAGCAGGGGTGGCTTGCCCCAATCCGCGTTGCCCAGTGGCGGCCACAGATGCCCCAGTTCCTGGAACACGAGCAGGGGTGGCTTGCCCCAATCCGCGTTGCCCAGTGGCGGCCACAGATGCCCCAGTTCCTGGAACACGAGCAGGGGTGGCTTGCCCCAATCCGCGCTGCCCAGTGGCGGCCACAGATGCCATGCCCGAAGCGCTTGTCATGCCCGCAGAGCGCTGCGTCATGCCAGTGGCGGTAAAGGGACTTGAAGGATTGGGCTGATTGCCCGAGTCGATGCCATTGGAAGTGCCTGTCGTAGGAGCTTGCGTATCGCGCTGTGACTGTGTCAGGGATGACGGCAGGCTGGTGCCTTCCTCAGTTATCTCCTCACTGGCGCCTGGTACGCTCTCCACCGAGCCGTCAGCACCAAGCTGCTTATCAGCAAACTCGGCAAAGTAAGACTCGCGAAGCATGTCCTGAGCAGCTGGTCGGAGATAAGGATCGATGGTCAAAAGCTGCATCAAGGCTTGGCGGAGTTGAGGGGTGTAGACGGAAGGCAGGCGCTTGTCAAAGAGGCCATTGCGAATCTTGTGCATCAGTTCTTGAAGGTTCTTGGCCTCAAAAGTAGGCTTGAGTGTGCAGGCTTCATACAAGACGCAACCCAAGGCCCTGTGCCAGTGCAAAGAAGAGGACAGTGACATGCCGGCGCAGGTGCATTAGAATGAGATGAGACTGTGCAGTGGAATGCAAAGACAAGTGTGTGGGGAGCATGGCGCACCAAATGTCGACTTTTTGTGAGTAGGGGATGCCTTTAGTCTGCTCTGGAGCTTGATAAAGTGGCGTGCCGCAGGGCGTAGAGCAGGTTCGAAGCTGAATACGTTGTGCGTTGTCATCCAGGATGCGAGCACAACCCAAATCACCAAGCTTGACCACACCCGAGGGCATCAAGAAGATGTTGGCAGACTTGACGTCACGATGAATCATGCCTCGGCGATGGATGTAGGCCAAGGCCTGCATGATCTGGGTCATCCAAACCATGAGCTGATCTTCGGGCAGGTAGCGCTTGGTGCGCGAGCGCTCGTTTAGGAGCGTAGCCAGATCGCCCTGGTCGGCATACTCCATGACAATGTAGACCATGCGTGGGGTTTTGACAACTTCCTGAAACTGAATGATAAAGGGGTGTCGTAACTGAGAGTGCACCTGTGCTTCGCTGCGAGCCTCCATCATGGCTTGATCGTTGTCAACGCTCATTTCCTTCATGCAAAAGTCTTCTTTCGTAGCCAAGTCGGTGGCCAACCAGGCCTTGCCAAAGGAACCCAGTCTAGAGAAGGTACGGAATAGAGATTGATGAAAGCACGGTCATGTCATTTCGTTCCAAAGGCAAGACTAGCAGGGCGCATGCTATGACCACACAGACTTGGCCCGCACATACCCGATGATGCGTTTCTTCTGATACTTTTGGTGGATCTCAGTCAGGTTGGTGGCATTGCTGAGGTCAAAACGCCCTGGATTGAGGGCCATGATGCAGGGTGAACGAGGAAGGCTGCAGCAGTCCAAAATTGATCCCGTTGGATTGATCGACCGGCGTTGTGGATTTAATCTCTGCAGGCAAAAGTACAGAAGACAATCCGCAGCGTCTGGTGGCCGCTGGGCACTCTTGCTCGAACAATGTAGCAGGCTATCAAGCCAAACTGAGGGCAAACAGCACGAGCTAATCTCGTGACATCTGGCTTCCAAGCATGTGCCAAGATAAGCGGCTGTGCAAAGAAGAAAGTCAGCCTTTGAGGTGCCAATAGTAATCGGCCCCCCTCCCCGTCACAGTGCGGCGAGTGCTGAAGCCGGCAGAACCCTTGCAAGGCTGATCCGTCCAAGAGCTCAAGTAAAATTGGCGTCCAAGAGCTCAAGTAAAATTGGCGTGAAACCCCCCTCCAAGAATAAACTGGCAAGCAAGAGCAACTTCCGAGACAGGGCTGTGCCGCAGACCTGGCGAGCCGGCGTAACGAGGCGCGAGGCAGGCAGCATCCACGGCCCCGAGGCACGAGCAAAACTGTGTCCGTGTGTGTTCGTGTGTGTGTGTGTGTGTGTGTGTGGTCGTGCGTCGTCAAGGCCACGGACAATATACAGCCCTCGAACGGAGTGACAGGAACTTTTAAAAGCGAAAACAGTGAAGTTGCTCTGGAAATGTTGCGTATGCATCATCAAGACTCTCAAACGCTCTCTCAAACACACACACACTCTCTCTAAATCTCTCGAAAGCTCTCTAAATCTCTCTAAATCTCTGTCTCTCTATGCTATCTCTCTCCCTCTCTCTCTCTCTAAATCTCTCTCTCTAAATCTCTCTCTCTAAATCTCTCTCTCTAAATCTCTCTCTCTAAATCTCTCTCTCTAAATCTCTCTCTCTCTAAATCTCTCTCTCTCTCTCTTTGTGATGACAAAAATCCATAATTTCTTGTGCTGTTGTGTGTGTGCGAGCGATCAGATCCTTCCAGTCCTCGTCATTCGCGCTGCACGGTACGCCTCTGCCCCTCTGCCCCTCTGTTCCTCTGCCCCTCTGCCCCTCTACCTTGCCCTTGTTCTTGGCCTTTGTCGTCGTTGACTTTGCCGGCATCGGCGGCGTCATTTTCTTGTCCCTCAAAGTCTGGCTTTCTCGCTCATCTGCCCTCCTCCACTGGTTTGTCGTCCTGGTGGTGCAGGAGAAAGCGGTCCACCGCCAGCTGTTTCGATTCGGCCAAGGAGCCGTTCAGCAAAAGGGCAGCTCAACCCCTGGATATCTTGTGCGGGTGTCGACACTCTACGCCATGTCTCTGCGTGCTACTGGCAGCTCGGCTGGCTTTGCCTACAAGGCATCGACTGCCATGGCCCTGCCCGACGCCGCACCTGGAGCCATGCCCTCATCCAGGCTGCAACTTCATATTGCGTGCAAAGACCTGACCAGCATGGACACCTTTAGCAAGAGTGATCCTTGTATGTGTTGTCATGGTTGTGCGCATGGCGAGGACCAGCCAAATGTGGTCAGGTGCTCACCCCACTTTGCGTCGCGGCGATGACATGCGCGCTCCTCCGCCGCCTCCAACAAACAATAGACGTGGTAATGCAACTGAAGGATGCCCGAGGCCAGTTTGTCGAGGTGAGCGTCATTGCTCAAGAGTGTCGGCCCATCATTCCCGCCAAATCGATCTCACCTCGCTTCACACGCACAACTGTGCGTGATGCAGGTGGGCCGCACCGAAGTCCAGGGCAACAAGAAGAGTCCCACTTTTGCAACCGTCCTAGAAGTGGACTATCTCTTTGAAACCATCCAGCAAGCCCGCTTTATCATGTACGGGTCGACGCCGGGCCTTGGGGGATCCCCGTCATATGCGTCTCCTCACAACTGAATCCCATTCGCCAGCTATGATCACGACAAAGATGGCAAGCCGGACAGCGAGCAAGACCTCATTGGCCAGGTGGAAACCCACCTGGGTGAGATTGTGGGTCTGCATCGTGGCCACATGGTCGTGGTATGTACCTCTTCCAACTGCCCTGCCAGGCTCCAACGAGCGTCGAGACCTCGGCGCCTCATGCCCTCGTCTGGGCCATCCTGTCGCATTGGTTCCCCCTCTCGTGCTCCTGGTCTTGCCGATAGCCCATCCGCAAGTCGGCCAGCTCCAAGTCAGAGCGAGGCACCTTGATTGTGGACGCTGAAGAAAGTGCAGATGTCAAGGGCATTGTGCACCTGACCCTACAAGGCCAAGATTTGGACAAGAAGGATTTTTTTGGCAAATCCGACCCTTACTTTATTCTCAGCCGTCAGCTGCGTGGGTCATGGCGCCCCATCTTCAAGAGCGAGGTGTGATTTGGATATTTTTCCTGCTCAATAAGTGTGCCCAGCCAACTCGAGCTGCGCTCGGCAGCAAATCATGCGCCGCCTGACTACACCTTATGATATTCCCTCACCCGCGCACCCCACCCGCGCACCCCACCCGCGCGCACCCTCGCTAGGTCATTAAGAAGACGCTCAACCCCACCTGGAAGACCATCCAGCTCCCGCGCCGGGCCTTTGGAAACGGCGGCCCCGATGACAGTGTGCGGGTCAGTTAGACTTTTCGGCCGCCTTCACGCCCAAATGGACTTCCCTTTAAGCCCACATTCTCTCCACTTTGTCCTCGCCCTTATCTGCGCGTGCAAGTGTTTAGTCTGTTGGTTTGTTCTTCTTCTTCTTCTTTTTTTTTTTTTCTTTTTTTTTCTTCCGCTTGCTGTGGGTTTATTCAATGACGGCTCGGGACACCTTCCATGTTGTCAACCTGACTTTTGAACTGAACCGATGGCCAGATCGAAGTCTATGACTGGGATCGCAATGGCAAGCATGATTTCATCGGCAAGGTGCAAGTCACCCTGAGGGAATTGTTTGAACGACCAGATGCCAGCCAACAACTGCAGGTCTGTTCGCTTCCGCTTGCCTTTGTCTGCCCGCAACGCTCGCCTGGCCTACACCCTCCCCTTTCAGGCGTGCTCGGCCAAGCAAGCTTCTGGTCATCCTCTCAATAAAATGCTACACCATTCCTGATTCTCGCCTGGCACAGCTTATCAATCCCGACAAGAAAAAGCACGCGGGCAAGGCGGGCCTACTCAACATGAAGGTGCACGTTGAGCCAGAGTATACCTTTGTCGGTAGGCACCATTGTTGGACCTTGCTCGTGCCTGTACAAAATCTTCCCTCGGGGCAAATAGTTTAACGGCCAGGCCAGCAAGGGTTGCAGCGATCCTCCACTCACTCTTTGGCTGTCATCACAATGTGTGTGATTCTGGACAGACTACTTGCGTGGCGGCCACGAGCTGCACTTTCAAATCGCCGTTGACTTTACCGCGAGCAATGGTCAGGCTTACTTGAGCGTGGTCGGCCACTTCTGATTAGGCGAGCGCCTCACGCGACTCAATGGGTAATCTCTGCTTGCTATGTCATAACAGGCGACCCACGCATGCCCAGTTCGCTGCACTACATGAACCCCATGTCCCCAAACCAGTATCAACAAGCCATCATGGCCATCGGCCAAGTCATCCAAGACTACGACACGGACAAACAGTTTCCCTGCTTTGGTTTTGGCGCCAAGTCAGGCGAAACCGTTCTTCCGATTTTCGCGCTCAATGGCAACATGCAGCAGCCCTATTGTGATGGGATCGATGGTGAGAACGACTGTGCTGTATTCAATCAACCCTTGGGTTATTCGTTTGCACACGCCCAATGTACACCGTTATCAGGCTTACATATACCTGCCGACCTTAGGGATGATCGCCGCCTACCAGCAGGGTTTGCTTAATGTAACCCTGTGGGGGCCAACTAATTTTGCCCCCATCATTGCCCAAGCGGCTCAGGTGGCACGGGATCACAGCCAGTTTTACCACGTCTTGTTGATCCTGACCGACGGTGCCGTCTCCGACTTTAACGATACTGCTCGCGAGATTGTGGCGGTGCGCGCAGTATTGCCATCCTTTTCTCTGTCTTGACTGTTCCTTTCTTTAGACATCTCGCCCTTGATGCCCAGCTCGCGCGCACACTTCTCGGACTCACCTGCACACACCTGACTTGCCACGATCTCTTTTGTTGTTGTCGTCTTGTTGTTGTTGTTGTTGTTGTTGTTGTTGTTGTTGTTGTCGTTGTTTTCCTTGTTGTTGTTGTTTTCCTTGTGTGTTCATGTTTCTAGGCCTCGAGTCTCCCTCTGAGCATCATCATTGTCGGAGTGGGGAATGCAGACTTTGGAATGATGGAGCAGTTGGATGGTGATGAGGTGCCTCTCACCTATCAGGGTCGCCAGTACGTTGAGAGTCGTTTGCCTGTGTTATCTTATGGTTGTCCACACGCCAAGCTGGACTTGACAATGCTTTGCCACCACAACATAACATTGATTCAGACCGGAGCGTGACATCGTTCAGTTTGTGCCCTTTCGCAAGTTTTCGCAAGGACCTGGGGCCCAGAGTGCACTCGCGCAGGTTAGTCGAGTGTGCATGATTTTGACTTTTCGGAGGTCACGTGCACACGCACCCGCCGCGCTCAACACTGTGCTTTTTCTTTTTGGATGCAGGAGGTACTCGCTGAGATTCCTGAGCAATTTGTATCATATATGAAGCGACGTGGCATTGTGCCTTCGGCGCCTGTAGCCCATTAACAAGGCCCCGTACAATTTTTGTACAGCACGTCATACATTGGGCATCCCGCGCCTGGATGAAGTGCCTGTGAAGAAGCGTTACACGTTATGAAAAAAATCTTAGACACTTTTGACTCAAAATTCATGACTTTTGGCCTTTTTGGAGAATTGGCATGAGGTCGGAAAGCCTGGTGTTTTTGGAAATTTGAATAGAAAGAAGAAAATAGGATGTTCAAACGCAGCATGTCACAAACAGCTGATAGCGACTGGCCCGTGCCGTGCGTTCGCGTTGCGTTCAATGTGTGAGGAAAAACGAAAGTAAATGACAGAAAGAAAAGAAGAAAAAACCGGGATCGCCATTCGATTTGAGCCTCTCGCAAGGAATTCGAGTCTGTCACAGGAATGAAGACGAAGGAACGGAAGGGATGCAGGCAAACCATGCGCCAGAGACAGCTGCTTAACTGGTGTGGTACTACAAAAAGATAGTCACGAGGTGAGATGCTGGTGTGAAAGCCTCCAAGCTGTATCAAGATTGCAGGCCTCAAAGTGACTCGAGATATCAAAAACTTACCGAGGACATGTCAAATGGATGATGATGATAGGAACTGTCATGGTCACCCATGCCGCCGTGCTGGGCACTGCCCCGGCTGGCATCCGAGCTACTACCGGAAGGACCAACAGAGGGCGTGTACTTGCTTGAGGCGCTGTAGGGCTGCTGCTGTTGACCTTGGTGGAACATGTAAGGAGGGAAGCCCATGCCACCCATGCCGCCCATGCCGCCCATGCCGCCCATGCCGCCCATGCCGCCCATAGCGCCCATGCCGCCCATAGCGCCCATGCCACCCATGGTGCCCATGCCGCCCATGCCGCCCATAGCGCCCATGCCACCCATAGTGCCCATGCCACCCATGGCGCCCATAGCGCTCATGGGGTACACGTAGTTCATGCCGCCCATGGGATACATCCCAGTGTTTTGCTGACCGCGCATGGATGAGGGGTTGCCGTGTGACTTGCCGCTGTGCTGCTGCTGGCTACGAGGGCCCGATTGACGACCACCACTGTTGTAGGCATTGTGTGTGCCATAGTAAGCTTGTTGCTGATAGTTAGCCATGTTGCCCATTGGGTACGAGCCCTTGGTGTAGCCGTGTGACTCGTAGCCTGAAGCCCCAGAATGCTCGTATCCATACGGCATACCCATGTGCCCAGTAGGCATATGTTGGCCTTGCTGCTGGGGCTGAGGCTGTTGCTGCTGCTGCTGCTGCTGCTGCTGAGATTGCGGCTGCTGGGGTTGAGGCAGCGACGTTTGTTGCTGGGATGGCTGCTGGGGCTGCGCGGGAGCCATCTGGCTGGTCTGATGCGCAGGTGGTTGTTGTGAAGGCATCTGGACCGGGCTGTGCTGCTGCAGTTGCGGTTGCAGATGTTGCTGCTGCTGCTGCAGGTGTTGCTGTTGTGCCTGCTGCGCAAAGTTGGGGTTGACCGAGGGCTGAGCATCAGGCGCCGTCACACCCAGACCGCCGAGGGGACCCATGCCAGAGCTAGGAGCATCGATGGAGGTGGCCACGGAAGAGGGGAGGGAAGCAGGCAGCGGGGTGTTGAACTGATTGTTGAGGGGAGGCAGATCAAATGTGTTGTTGCCAGTGTTGATGGACGACTCGGCGCTAGCAGAGACGGTCGCGGGGGCGGGGGCCGAGAGAGGGGCAGCTGAGGTAGCAGGGCTCTTGGCACCGACGGGCTCGGGGGCAGTGTCGGCGTGGACGCCGAAATTGATACCCAGGTTGCCGAAGGTGGTGTCAAAGTTGGTGTTGAGCGAAGGCATCTTGACAACCTCATCATGGCCTGCGGACGTGGTGCGAGTGTACTTGCCAGCACCCTCGAGGGGGGGAAGCCATCCAGGAGCGGACTTGTCGGCGTCATCCTTGGCGGGCCAGTTGGTCGTCCATTCACTGGCAGCGTTGGTGGTACCCCAGGCATCCTTGGGGGGCGCAGAGCTGGGAGCAGCAGCGGGAGAAGCCGACACTGCAGGAGGCGCGGCCGCAGGGGCAGCGGGCTCGGTGGGAGCTGCAGGCTCAGTTGCGACGGGTTTAGGGCTGGGCCAAGACGCTGGCTCGGGCTTGGCAGGCTCCTGCTTGCTGCTGTTGTTGGAACCGGGTGCACCGGCAGACCAAGCATTCCAAGGAGCAGCTGAAGTGACAGTGGCCGCGGCTGCTGACTCGGGCGCTGCGGCTGGCTCGGGCAGAACAGCAGGGGTGTCCGACTTCTTCGCTGCAGTGGTAGGGTCGGGCAGGACGAGGGCATCAGCGTTGGCTGTTTCCTCCTTGCGGCCACGACCAGTTTTGCGGGCCTCGGCCTCAGCAGCCGCCGCAGCAGGCGTAGGCTGTGCTGCTGCTGCCGCTGCAGGGGTGGGTGCCGTCGCCAGCGTGGGTTTGGGAGGCTGGGGCTTTTGACTGTAACATGAGAGGATACAGTACACCACGAGGTGAGAGAAAGGATGGGAGTCAAGGCAGGTGGTTGGGCAGCCTGAAAGCAATGAGCTGAGATCAAGTAATTGGCAGCGTTGATCTTACCCAAAGAGAAGCTTGGACCAAGTCATGGGCTGTGGACCCTTGGGCTTTTCGGGTGCCTGCGGGGCCTGTTGTGTTTGTTGCTCCGGCGTGGAAACGGCAGCTTCGGTATCTGCGGCAGGAGTGGATTGACGCAGCTCTGGGTTGACGCCACGGCCCGTACCTGCGGCAGCACCACGACCGGCACCACCACGGCCACGGCCACGACCCGTACCACGTCCACGGCCTAATCATGCGCGCCCGTCCGGGGGAAGGTCACGAAAGATGGCAATCGTGAGACCTCGAGTTGTCCAACCACATCAATCCAGCCCAGAGAGCAAAGAGGGAAGGAGATGGGGCAGCTCGAGTAGCAGCTGACAATAAATGAGGCGAGGTCAGAAAAGCACGGTATGCGTACCTCGGCCTCGAGCACCGGCAAAACCGTTACTGTCGCCTTCGCCCTCACCGCGACCGCGACCACGAGGACGTGAGCCACGCTCACCCCGCGGGGCGCCATTGCTGTGATACTGATTCGAATCGCCGTCACCACGAGCAGCGGCACGAGCCGTCTTGCTCTTGGACTTTGAAGTCTGTGCCTGGGGCTGTCCATCCCGCGTCAGCTCTTCAAAGGCCCGATCAACATTGTTGTTGCAATCGCGCAAAGCTGTGACAAGGGTAAGCAGGGCAATGATGTGAGACGGCAAGAAGATGAGGGACGCCATGTGAGTGTGACGCGTTGGCAGGAGGGGGAGAGCAGGTGAAACATACTAAAGAGCATGTCATCATCTGAAGCATAAGAGCCAACGATGCTCAACTGAGTCTTGAGCTATAAACGCGGAGACGAGTCCCAAACAGCGTGAGAGGCATTTGCGGAATGATCTTTTTTTTTTTTTTTTTTTTTAAAAAAAAAAGGGTGTGTGTGTTGGGGGGGGGAGAACAAGAGGAAAAAGAAGAAACAGATGGGAAGGCGAAGACGAAGGGGCTGACCTTTTTGAAGGCGGCGGAGAGCTCCGAATCAAGCTCGTCCTAGAGAAGGAGAGTGAGAGAGAGATGGATGTGAGCCAGAACGGCGACTCGTTTTGGAGACATGCAGAGCTTGAAGGGCATTGAGTGAAAACACGGGAAGAGACGAGACGTACGACAAGTACTGCCGACATGACGCTGGTGTTGTGCGAGAAGCTGCTGGTAACCACGCTAGAGGGAGAGGCCATTCAAGCAAAGCGGGCGGGGGCCGGCAAAAGAAGTGAGAGTCGAGTGACGAGCTTCAATGGGAATGCAGCGAATCGAGGAGGGAAGCAAACAACAGGCAGAGGGGAAAAACAGGCAGTCACACTACAACAACAACAACGACGACGACGACGACGACAACAACAACAAGAAGCAAAGAGCACGTCTGGCGCACATCACGAGCACTGGAAAAGAAGACGCGGGAGAGGGACAGAGAGAGAAGAGAAGAGAAGAGAAGAGAAGAGCAGATGCTGGAGAAGCACAAGACGTCAATGGCAGCCAGAGCGAAGATGAGCATGTCAAGAGGGCTGGTTGACTGAAAGCAAGATGGAAGGCACATTAATGTCAAGGTTTCTGGTGGCCGAGGGCACACTGGAAACCAGCAAGAGCAGCAGAAGGGATCGCACAGCTCAGCGGCGCGCACAGTGGCACGTCGACGAGCACACACACACACACACACACACACACACACACGAATGACGCGCTCGCCAAGTGCGTGCTTGTGTGAAGGGCGGCACACCAAAGCTGAATGCAAGTTGCAATACTGGCCACGACCAGACAGCGTATCATGTACTCCAATGAAGAACCGCAAATGCAATCTTCACCTGCCTTGACCAAACCCAAGAGCAAGCCCGGCTGCCAAAACCAACAACAGGGCACAAGCACAGAGAGAGAGAGAGAGAGAGAGAGCAGAGAGCGCGCAGAGAGCAGAGAGACGCACACACACACACTCTCTCTCTCTCTCTCTCTCTCTCTCCTCTCCATTTCTCTCTCTCTCTCTCACACACACACACACTTACCCAGTGACACCCGAAACAACAAAAGAACCAGACTTGGGACTTGGTTGGACGGGAGTGAGGCTTGGCTAGGGATACGAGGGGGGTGGAGGTTGAAGGGCAGAGAGAAAGGGAGGAGGGATGGTAAAGGCAGAGGTGAGGGGAAAACCAGAAAAAACGTAATGGGTATTTTCAATGAGAAGACAGAGAATAAGGTCTACACTGGTCCAAAAAGAGAGATATGATGCCAATGTTGGCACAACGCAGAGATGCAATCAAATCAGCACGCCTCAACATGCCCCTAGTGTGCTTTCAACCCGACTTGCACCTCTGCTTAGACCTTGGAATTGCCTCTTTGGATGACAGCCTCTCGACCAGCTCCTCTGACAACCGCCCATAACAACCATCAGCTTGAAAAGTCAAGGTGAGATCCCAGTCCGCTTCTCCCGCACAGCTGCCGCACGCTTTCACCTCTCCACGCACCACCCCCTGGGCCGGCGCCACCGCCCGCGATGGCCCATGGCACTCACCCGCCCTTTAGCCCATGGTGGTGACCAGTGTCTTTTCGGCAAACCGCAATCCCTTGGCCTTTCTGCACTGGTGTCGCTGCCGTTGCTGGCCCGTGATTGTCCCTCCACCCCACCTCTGCTGGCCAGGTGCTGGTGTAACACGCTCACGGAACGTGTGGGAGTTTGCTGACCAGTTGCCCTTACTTCTCGTGAGCGTGGCCGAAGAGGCGGGCTTGTTTTGGGCTATCAACCAGGGCAAATTTATCCTCACAAGACCATTCACAAATAGCACGGATAATGGCTGACAATTGGTTGCCGCGCTTCTCGCCTCGCTACCAAATCTACGTTTGCCTCGTTTCTTGCAGCAACGAAAGTGACGTGGAGCCGTGATCATGCATTTCTGCTGACATCCCAAACGTGCTCCGACGTTGCCGTTCACGTCACGCGCGTGCGCCTCGTTCGGATGCTAATAACGGCCAAACTCGGATGAGAAACCAGCCTAGTGAGTGAGTGAATCATGATCCTTGAGTGGCGGAGGGCACGAAAAAGAGGGCACAGCATTTCGATCTCTATCTCGATCTGGTGTCAATTCCGATGGCTACTGAAACCAGGAGCCAAAAAAAAAAAAAGGAAAAAAAGAAAAGAGGGAAAAGAGTCAAGCTTGGCCGATCGGGCCAAGAGCATACAAGATTTGACATTCAGTTAATCAACAAGTGCGCGGCGTCCTCACACACGAGTACTTTAGGAGCGCGCAAGTGGAAGCAAAGCCAATTTTAACAATCACATAGCGAGGCCATTTGTCTCTGACAAGGCCATCATCCGATATTGACGAGCAAAACACATCAACGTATCATATACAAGACCAAAGCCACCAAGCCCAACGTCCTCCGAAACATTGAGGCTGTTCAAAGCAAACAAAACAAAAGCTAATCAAAAGAAGAAGAACAAAATGATAAAAGCAGAGACCGCGCTGCGCCGGTCAGGCAAACGGGGTCTCGGGTCCTAGCTGGCCTCTTGAAGATCAGAGGGAGCTCCATCATGCAGCAAGCAAGCCTCCTCGGTGGCTAAAACTTGCTTGACCGCGGGAGCGGATAAGATAGAGCGAGTAGTTGGGGTAGAACAGCAGGAAATCCGGAGGTATGGGCGGGTCGAAGGCGGAGCAAGTCGACAAAAATCATCGTCAAACTGATCCAAAGGGAAGTGGGCTTTGGTCGAGGCAGTCGTAACCAAACGGGCGGTCGTCGTGGCGCCAGCTTGGCTGGACATGCTCAGCGAATCAACAAAAAAAAACATTTGTACATACAAAATACACGGCCGCATCGCGGGCACCGCGTGCTGCGCGGCGTTGCGCCAGACAAAGCGGTGGCTCCAAAGACACCACCAACAAGTGGAAATTGAAAAAAAAAAAGGATCGGGTTGAAGGAGCTCGTCACATCAAACGAATATAGAAAAGGGTCAATAAGAAAGACAAGACAAGACAAGACAAGAGCTAAGAACAAGGAAACCCACTCAAGGTTTGGCACGCCTCGAGCCAGGCGCATCAGCCGGGCTCGAGGCAGGAAACATGGTGCTAAACACCAAAAAATTCAAAGCAAAAAAGAAAGTGGCCGCATCTCCGGCAGCCAATGTTTCCTTGTCCAGGTTCACGGAGAAGAGGGGGAGACAGAGATGGACTCTGGTTGGTGGGCACGGTGGTTTTCTGCAGAGCGAGCCACCGAGTCGACCTTGGCCAGGGCATCACTGGTTGTGTCCATTTCTGCCTCTTCCGAAGTGCTTGTGAGGCTGGGATCGGGGCGCTGTTCTGCCACGGTGGAGGTGCGAGTGCAGACGGAGGTGCCTTCGCGGAGGGGCAGGGCAGCCAGAACGTCGGGATCGGCCTCGGGGGCGAAAAAAGTGCGTTGCAAGCGGCACCAGAGATGACGCTGGAGCAGGGTTGTGCGGAGGGTGCGACGATCGTCGGCGTCAAGCTTGAGGTTCTTGTTGTAAGCGGCTTGCACGAGATCACCCAGGGTCAAAGGCTGCTGCGAATGACGGTCCCGGGGGTACGAGTAGGCGCGGCGCTGACGGGCCACGGCCGGCCGGCTGCGGGGTGGGGTGGCGGACGGCGCCGAGATGCTGGAATCGTCCTTGTAGTGGCTCAGGCTCGTGGGGCGGGCAACCGAGCGCTCCATGCTTCTGGGTTTGGTTCAAGAGTTGAGACCTTGACACGTAACAGCGGCAAAGGCGATGGCGGCAGCGATGGCGGTGGCGGTGGCAGGCAACCGCTCTGTTGGCAGCTGTCGGCACAAAAAAAAAACCAAAAATTTGGAAAAAAAAGTTGTGTGGTGAAGAAATAAAATCAAAACTCAAAAAGAGTACTGAACAACAAGATTTGATGCTGTTGAGTGTTGATGGTCAGTCGAAATCGAAAAGAGCAAAAGGGCAGTCGGGTACAGATCGGCAAAGGGGGTCAACCCAAGGCGTTTGAGCAAGCGTTCAACCAAAATCAGCACGTTGGTGCAAAGTCGAGGTGGAGATGAGGAAAATGCCCAATTTCGCGGCCGTCGTTGGGAGACCAGTTAGAGGCACAAGGGTGAGGGTGGATACGCGGGAAGTGGTGGGGGAGCTGCGCTTGGCACCACACACCAAGCGATTTGGCTTGCTTATCCACACACACACACACACACACACACACACACTTGAGCTCTTTTGTTCGATGTGTTTGTGTGGATAACAGCATAACGTTTGCATTACGACGCATGGGGTGGGTGGTGGATTCAAAGGGAGCTTGTGGTGGATGGCGCTTGAGCGCGAAGGGGGTTGTGTGGCGCGAGACGATTTTCGGGAAGGAACGGCACCAAGCGTACGAAGCAAGCGACCCGTGGCTGTTGATTCGATTGGTTCGGTTTGATTGTGTGCTTGCGAGTGCGGCCAAAAACACAAGGGAGTGCCGCAAACAACGAATCAACAAGGTGTGATGTGATGGTGGGTGATTTTGTGGTGCACGGGCAACGCGGCCACCAAAAAAAAAAGGGTGCCGTAGGTTTGACACGGCTGCAGAGCAAGATGCTGCTTTTCGCCGATGATCAAGTTGCCTGGCCTACATTGGCAAGGGAATGTGTGATGTATGGAAAGTTGCGTTCGAGGTGATGGGCGGTGGACAGAAGCAAGAGGCAACCCACGTCAGCCCCAAAGAGTGGGTTGCTGATGCCGATAGCGCGCGTTGGTGTGGGGTGGTCATGGGTCTGTGAGAACAAGTTGTGTCGCGAAGGTCACGAATGGGGGTATGCGGGTGTCAATTCGAGCTCACAAATTTCAAGCCCAGAAGCGAGAGGGTCGCCACGCCACCGAAAAGCGGCCCCCACAACCAAAACACCAAACCCTTCCATCCCTGCTATCAACCAAACGAGCCGAAGATGTGGGATCGGAAACGAATGACGCGCCATTCGTGTTTGGACTGCAACAAAAATTGGCTTACGGAAGAGCGGGCGCAGTCTTGACATTCGCCAAGCGCCCACACGGGAAAGCGGACACCAAGGAGGAGTAGTTCCAAACCGGTTCATCATGCGTCCGCGCACGTCTCAATCCTTATGAGCACCGCATGTAAGTCAGGAAGCATCAGCCAGGAGCTGCATCCCAGCTCCACGAAGCTCTTGGTTGACGAAGCTGCCTTGCAACCCCGAGCTGCTGCGTCGCGATACTCCTTCGCCGAGCCCCCTCTTCAGGCTGGGAACCGAGCTTCAACCCCACAGCCGAAAAAAAAAAAAAAACGCCATGGGATCAGTCTGTGTCTGGTAGGCCGGCAGTTCTTCGCCTGGTCGGAAGAAAGAAACGCGGTAGGGGGTAAGCTGCTCAGCTGGCTGCGCCGCTTGCTCACCACACCCTCTTTTCAGCCCCCATGATTGCTGTTCCAACTGCCCCCGTGTGTCATGAGACTGGATACTAAATTGATTGGGGTTGTCTTCTTATCCACCCCACTTGCGTCACCTTCACGCCAGCGGTGGACTGGGCCGTTTCTCGTCGAGAGCCCCACTAACATCATTCCTCTTGCCAACCCCCATACCTTGAGGTTAGGCCCAGACATGCCAAGGGTAACGCAGTCACCGTCCTCTCAGCATGTTTAGGTTGGGCGGCTGATGTGATGGTGTTCCAATGCGATTTCAGAGAACACCCGGTTTGGCTTTGCACAACGCCTTTGCTTGTTTCATGAGATCCAACAAATCCAGAAATCCAGAAAAAGAATTAGATTTGATCGGACCTCGTGGGAACCGCCCAGCCAATGAGCCTACCACGCTTACTATGTGCCCGCATGTCGATCCGATGCAATCGCACACAACCAAACCGCTCGCGCGGTTGATCAGATGGCTGCGCCGTTGAGTTATGACAAAGCCAAGTTTTGACATGTCCACCTTTGACCAACGGAGCTCCACCTCCACATGCTCTGCCAGATGTTGGCACTACATCAGGCCACCAAAGACGCAGCCCTGTCGCCAACGCATGTCCCGGAATGAGACAAAAGAGAAGAAAACACGTCAGCTTGACATGCCCCAAATGCCGTGCCAAACGTGCTGCGCGCTATGCCAGCACGCGACTGCGCGGCAAAGGCCACACGTTTGGCACCCCGTGCATGGGACACAAGTTACGCTTGGTTGATCACGGGAGGAGCCGAGCACACCAAAGCAACAACAACAACAACAACAACCGATGACAACAACAACAATAAGGAAGCAAGCAGAGGCAGAGCGCGCATCGCCACACACCTTTGCACTTGCGACGTATTGGGCAGGAAAGTAGTAGACAAAGTACGTGGACTGAGCGGTGGACCCCATTTGAATGGCCTGCGGGTGCGTGCCCAGATACAAAAGGGATATCCCACGGTGTGCGTGAGGCATGTGTCATTCACACGTCAGCCGCGTGTCCCACCATCCAATCTCAAACAGAGGACAAATGCCCTGCAGAAGCAAGGGGAGGACATGAAGCAGGGCACACAACAAGCCAGACGACCGGCTGCACAATGTTCGTGCGTCAATCAGGATCAAGCTCGAGCACAAATGACCAGACCAAACCAGGACCCAAAACAAACAGCCAAAATAGAGCGCAGGACAGCGGGTCAGACGGAAGACCCAATGACCCTAAACCAAAGGAGATGTGCACGCGCGCTCGGATGCGCATGCGCAAGGCAAGTGACACCCCACGACCTCAACATATAAGGCACCTTGGTTCCTCGTTGAAGAAAACAGGCGCAAGCAATCAAAGTGTCCATTGGACACCCGCAACACCCTTAACACACACGTTGCTGATCCACGCCGACCAGTTTGACAGGTCACACAGCAGCAACGAGCAGGATCGAGCAGAAGCAGTGGCAGCAAAACCCCCTTTTCTTCAACAGGCAGCACACCGATGTGATACCTGATACCCCTCCCTCCCGCCGCTCGTGTCCAAACGCAGTCCCAACAGGACAAAATCAGTCAAGGAATCAGTCAGCCAGCCAGTCAGTCTCAGTCAGTCACAGTCAGTCAAACGCAGACACATGCAACGCATGGGCATCACTGTCACGCAGCGACTTGGGCTTGCTGGTACATCACACACCATTCTGCACCCTGGCCGTTGGGAAGGAGCATGTGGGACATGCAAGGACGAACGACAAACCAACGCGGGTATGTCGGCGTCATGTCCAACCCCTGCTCGCCACCGGCAAGAGGTTATCAGCCAGCTTTGGTCCCTTCGTCCGCTGCATGTCGCATGCCCTGCGGGCGCGCGCACGAGCGAGCTACGCCCCGGGAGCAAGGTTCCCTCCGCGGAGGGACACTCATCCGGGTCAGGACTGCACGAGGACCGTGCGTATCCAAGGCAAGCGCCAGTCGAGAAAACTTGGACCGCAGTCCTGTCGACGCGCGCGAGCATAGCTTGACGCCGGCGTCCCGCGAGACTTGGCTCGTGGCCGGACAACCCTTGTCGACTGCCTTGTCCTTGCACTGCCCCCGTTGATCAGGCTGTGCAAACCCATGACATGCTTGACGACACGGTCATGGTTGCATTGGCAGCGAAGACTGCCTGCCCAACTCGCCCATTGACACTTGTGTCCAGACACGCTCGCGAGTGCCTTCACACCTGCACACCTTCACACCTTCACACCTTCACACCTTCACACCTTCACACCTTCACACCTTCACACCTGCACACCTTCACACCTGACAACTTTGACGACATTGCGAGGGGAAAAACAAAAACTCATCATCACACGCACTTCCGTCAACAACAAGGAGGACTGCACAACTTGCACCAACAGTAGAGCCGCACAACCTCGTCCACAACGGCCCTGCTTCCATTTGAGTTGAGACACGCAGAGGCTCAAAGCCAACGGCCCACGCACCAGAATGTGATAATGTTCAAGAGACGGAATCGGTTCCGATTTGATTTGCTGGATCTTGGACAGCGGCACCTGCACGCCAAACAGAAAAGAAAAAAGGCACCGCGGTCATCAACCAGCCAGCTTCGCATGGCATGACACTCTCCAGGATCCAAGTCACGCTTCGCTACCGAACGCACGCCGCAGTCCAGACTGGCCCGGCCTGCAAACCTGCCACCCACGCCAACCGCATCCCGGCACGCCAGAGCCCCAAGTACGTACCCGTCGCGTCTGACGCTTGGTACTAATAATGAGCTCATTGGTGGTCAGCGAGAAGTGTAGTCGCACCTGCCAGCCAACGCGTGAACATGTAAGTGGCTCGAACATTGAGCTCCCGCGCGCCGTCAATGCTGCTCGCCATGCACCAGTTGCCACACGCTTGCTTCAGCATGGATCGCCCAGGCCATCCTCTGCCTGGTCAAGATGACACGCACCTTTTCGCCCGACCCGTCCAACATGCCGGAAATTGGCGCATCGGGCAACGGATCAGCACCTGGCAAGAAAGCAAGCGGTGCGTCATCCGGCACTCCACGATCCAAAATGCGCTTGTGCTTTGTCTCTGTAGCCCATGGCGTTTTGCGCGCCGCTGCTGCCGCCGCCACTTGTTCTAAGCCAGCATACCAGACGTTTGCAAACTTAGTCTAATCATTCGCCACACACACAAACACACACACGCACGCACACACACACACGCACACACACACACACACACACAACAGGCTTCAGCTTGCCATGTGCGTCAGGCAGGCCGTCATCGCCACCGAGCCGTCCCAGCTGCCTCCACCCCTCGCCTCAAGGTTGGCTCGGGTCGGGCCTTTCCCGACCAACATCGTGCTGAAGCCTTGCTCCCTTCCAGTGTCCTGTCCACCAGCCTGCTTGTCTCAGCCTGTCGCCACTACTAAAAAAGGGCAGGAAACAGGTGCATCCGCGTCCTTCCCAAGACTCTGGCACCCACATTCTGAACCACCGTGCTCGAGTCACATACCAGTTTGCTTGAGAGCACCCGTCTTGGCCAAAGCATCAACCTGTCACGCCATGGTGCGTTCGATCCAACAGATGACCCGTAACACGCGGCATGAAAGGGATGAAAACATTGAGGCATCCAAACAAACACCATTCTGCAGCAAGACGAGAGAAGGCGACTCACCTGCTCCACAGACTTGACAGCATCCGATGTAGCGCCCACAACCAGGATTTGCGCTTTGTTGGCAAGTTTGGCCTCCACCAACGAGCGATTCTCCAGCTCGGGCTTGCCCGGCCCTGCCAACAAGCCTGAAGCATCCCATGGAAAGAAAAATGGGTGTGTTTGAAAGAAACGGCTTGATGACTTGTCACCTTGACGCACGCTCGTGTTCACGGCTTCGCTCTGATCGGCTTCAAGCCAAGAGCGCGCCCTCTTGCTACTGTCGTACCTTTGTGCATCAGCTTGATCTTGTCCCCGGGCACATGAGTCATGTCCGAAATTTTGTCTTTGAGAGTCTGGACAGTCATGGACGGGTCCACCTCGAGTTTCAGCTTTTCCTTGGCATACACGATGCGCAAGGTCCACACTGCCAGATTCAACCGGGCCCATGAGGAGAAAAAGCAAATGACACCCCTCATTGCAGCGCCAGTCGTCATGACCAGCACCAGCTCGGCACAACCCAAAATGGTCAAAAGAAGATACGCTCAAGAGTACTCGAGCAGGGCACCCCAGGACGATCATCCGATGCTCTCCCTCACGCACACACACACACACTCTCTCTCTCTCTAACTCTCTCTCAAACTCTCTCTCAAACTCTCTCTCTCTCTTTTCATCAGGCCGCTTGATAGCACCCACCATCTTCAGCGCTTGCCATTTTGACCGGTCACAATGCAACAGCTCAGAGATGCAAGCCGTGCACCCAAGCATTCGTCCCCTGCAGCCATCGCGCACACAAGCCCATGAGCACAACAAACAGCTCGTACCGACCAGTCCCACCAAGTCCAGACGTACCTCTCAACACAAGCGCAATCTCGTGTTGCCGTTTCCTTGACCACTGCCACTGCCACTGCCACTGCCACTGCTGCTGCCACTGCTGCTGCTGCTGCTACTATCGCTGCTGTCAACGCCGCTGCCGTATCGCTTGTGTCGTCCAAGGGAAAACAAAAAGGTGTCGCGGCTTCCAGCTTGGAAGAAGAAAACAAAACAACAACACCAGAGATGTTGTATAAAGGTGCACGGGGGTGAGAGATTGTACCTGACCACGACGGCAAATCTAGAGAGAGGCTTGGACTTGTACCACCCTGATAACTAGAATCAAAGCCTGAATGAGAGATTCATTGAGCATGGGTTCTGGATCCAGAGAAGTGGACAACTTTTTCAGCTGATTCAGAGAAAATAGACAGCTAAGCCTACACACTAAAAATGGCCAAGCCCGTCACTGCTTTCGTGAGTAACACGGCCTCCCTCATTCTATAAATGCCATTCCCTAATATAAACTTTTGCCCACGCCGAGACCCAAGATAGACGATTCGTCCACAAATAACACCCATCTCCTATTTTCCACCGCTTCTTCCAAACTTAGCGTCACCATGGACAGCACCGCCGACCCCATGCTTCAGGCTTCGGTACGCTCTCTCTCTCTCTCTCTCTCTCTCTCTCTCTCTCTCTCTCTCTCTCTCTCTCTCTCTCTCGCTTGATACGGCAGCGGCTCTATCTGCTCGATGAGCCCTTCTCTCTGCCTCTGCCTCTCAGGCTCTGTACTCGCTTTTGATACAAGATACTCTCCCTTTTCTTTTTTTTGCGGGGGGGGATAGCATTCACATGCCACAACACACACACACACACACACACACACACACACACACACATGACAGCTCCACGTGGCAAGGAGAGAGAATGGCAGTCCCCTGTGCTGCTGACCGGCTTTTGATCCTCACTCACCTTGGTCTTGGCATGGAATGGACGGGATGAATACAGGCCGAGCAGTCTGCCAAGGACTACTACTTTGACTCATACTCCCACTTTGGCATCCACGAGGTGGGGCTTCTTGCCTTGCCACGCTTTATTGGCTTTGGCCCGCGATCTGCTGTCCTCTTCCTCCTTCCGTTCATCCGCTCTCACCTCTCGTCCCCTTGCCTCGCTCCTTTTGATCGGTATCTTTATAGGAGATGATCAAGGACTCGGTTCGCACGGGCACCTACCGCCGCTCCATTGTCCAGGTTTGTTTGCCTGCCACCAGGCCTCGGCTTTTGAGTCCCACCTTGGCACCTTTTCACGGAGAGGCTTTTCGGCCTGCCGTGCCTTGTTGGACCATGGCTCATGCCAGCTCTGCATCTTTCCTTTGGGTTCTTTTTTTTTTGGACTGTAGAATGAGCATCTCATCAAGGACAAGATTGTTCTTGATGTCGGCTGCGGTACGGGCATCCTCAGCATGTTTGCTGCCCAGGCTGGTGCCAAGCACGTCTATGCCGTACGTGTGCATCACCCTTCAACCCGTTTAGCCCTGATGCTACTCGCATGTGTCTTCACTCACCTCTTGCTCCCCTTCCAACTCTTGATTTTCCATGAGCCAGATCGACTGCAGCAACATTGCCAAGCAGGCGCGCCAAATCGTCAAGGACAACAAGTTTGATGACCGCATCACCGTCATTCAGGGCAAGGTGCGTCCTCAACTCAACGGCTGTCTGCGTGCTAGCTCATGTCAACCCCTATACCCCGTTTGCCTGACCCACATTCACCTGCCTCTTGGTCACCGCCTTCCTCGGTACAGATGGAGGATCTTAAACTGCCCGTTGATAAGGTTGATGTTATCATCAGGTTCGGCACAGACCCGATGGCAGCCCGCCATTTCCGCCCCGACCTGCTCGACGCAACGGAAAATATGGAATGCACGCTTTAACCACCCCTACCTGTGTACCTTGCTCTGCACACAGCGAGTGGATGGGTTATGCCCTGATTTACGAGAGCATGCTCAACACGGTGCTCTACGCTCGCGACAAGTACCTGGTTCGTACCACACCAACCCACCCTTGTCAGGCCACGGTGCCAACTCTTGCCCCCACCTCCCACAACCCACCCCTCTTCATGTCTGCTTTGCATCATTTTTGGACCCAATTCCTTTTTTCTCTTGACCTTTTTTTGACTCTTTTTCCTTTTTTTTTTCCCTATTATGGCCGGTCCCCCAGGCCCCGGGCGGTGTCTTGCTCCCTGACAAGGCCACCATCTTCCTCTCTGGCATCGAAGACCAGCAGTACAAGGATGACAAGATCACCTGTGAGTATTGGGGCCCGTGTTCTTCTACCAAGGAGAGAAGAGCCTTCGCAGTCAACGACGCTGTGTCACACTACCAACACTCATGGCCCACCTCCTGCCCTTGACCCGTGCTTACGAGGACCTCAGGGTGGGAGAACGTCTATGGCTTTGACATGTCTGCTATGAAGCGCATGGCCATGCTCGAGCCCCTTGTCGACGTGGTGGACCCCCAGCAGATTGCTACCAGCGACTGCCTTGTCTTGGTATGCCTTCGCCGTTTGCGTTGATGTATACTGGACACCTTGACGCGGTGCGGCCCACTCTGGCATGCGCCTAACTATCGGGCTCTACTCTTCCCCAACTGCAGACGATTGACTTGAACACGGTCACCGTGGACGATTTGACGTGGGAGGCCGATTTTGATATCGTGTGCAAGCGCGACGATTACATTCATGGTACTCTTTGCCTCATCTGAGCTTGCCACCCACTCTTCTCTCTCTGCCCGTTGCCCTTTTGCCCTTCTGCCTTCCCTGCCGTTCTCGTGCTTGGGAACACAGGGACAATCTCCAAGCACATCTGACGCTGTCGTTGTACCTGCTCGTTCTGTCCTTGCCTTTTTAGCCCTGGTCATGCATTTCGACATCGATTTTGCCCGCTGCCACAAGCCCACTACTTTCTCAACCAGCGCGCGCTCCCAATACACGCATTGGAAGCAGACGGTGTTTTACCTGGAGGACGTCCTGACCGTCAAGGTGGGTTTGTCGCAGAGCTGCAGGCGTCGTTGAAATCGCGCGATGAAAAGTCTCACCCCATTTTGCCTGCTTGGGCCGGCGTCAAACAGGCTGGAGAGCGCATCCGTGGCCACATCTCGTGCGCTCCCAACCCCAACAACCATCGCGACCTCAACTTTGAGCTCAGCTACAACTTCAAGGGCGAAGTTTGCTCTGCCACCAACAAGCAGATCTTCCACATGCGATAAGCAGCATGTGTCATCTGCCTCATGGTTTTGTCCAGGTTTTTCTCCCTTGTGGTCCTCCAACATGTTTGACTTGATTGTTCGTCTGTATGCTTCTACCTTGAGCGCTGCAGGCTTCCTGAATGAGCTTGCTTTTTTTTCTTGCTTTGAACCCGTGCCCTTGTGTATGTGTATTCGTGCTTGATTTCATCAATTGTCTGCTTTCTCGTTTGAAGATGCCTTCATTGTTGGTTCGGGTGAATTGGTTGTTTTTCATGTGTTTGTCACGGTCTCTCGCCGTAGCGCCTCAGTACATCTTTGAGGCGCATGGCAGGGTGTGGCCCGCCGCCATCTGCGACGCGCGTGCAGGGCCCCAGGACCTTGCGGTTGTCCCCGCACAATTTTCAATGTCATACGATCATGGTTTTGTCTGCTCACACCCTCCCACAAAAAAAACCGCGCGCATGATGAGCAGGAACAAGTGCAAGGGGGATTCATTCTTAAATTTGGCAAGAGCCATGCAACAACACGGGAGAACATGGTAATGATGGGGAAAACAAAACTACAAGGCCATGCATGATCCATCAAGCTGATCAACAGCAGAGACGGGCCTGACCAAGCGTAAAAATCGCAAACTAATCGTAAAGATGGCTGGATAATCATGTAGGATGATGAGATGACAGCAAGCAATAACCAAAGAAGAATAACGCAAGAGATGATATAAATCGCGGCCATGCACTGCATGCGGCGCGTGAAGGGATCAACCCTTTCCTAGAAAATTCCAAAAATTTGCAAGAGAACACAAAGTTTGTGCCAGACGGTGAAGTCTGCAAGTGCATGAGGTCAAAAGCACGAGGTCAAAAGCACGGCACAGGGGGACCCGATAAGAAAACAAGGACACTTGTCACTACTCATTGATGATGGCCAGGTTGGGAAATCGCCGGCGGTTGGTCTTGACGGTGGGCGGTACAGCGGGAAGAACGCGGGGCTTTGAGTTGCTGCGAGCAGCATTGACATGCGAAAGACCATTGTCTAAGCTTTGAGAGCGTTTCAAGGAGTTGTGCAAAGACCAAGTCGTCTTGCGGGGTGCGTCAATGATCAGCTGGGTAGTGGTGCTGGTGCGATTGTTGCTGCACTGGTTGGCCGTCGAGCGCTTGCCTTTGACCGAGGCAAACCCGAGGGCCACGGTGAGACGGGCCATGAGATTGGAGGGAGGGAGAGTACGGCGTCGCTGTGTGGGCGTACTGCCAGCGCTGCTGACTGCGCTGCTGCTTCGACTGCTGAAGGCGCTATTGCTCAAGCTCACAGGCGCCTTGTCAGTATCCAAGCCCTCGTCGTCGCTAGTCAAGGCATCAGCGAGGACATTGGGCGGGTCGACCATGTCGCTGTCGCTGCCACTGTCACAATCACTGGCACTGTTAGCGACCATGCGGGCGGCAAGATCGTCCGAGTAGTTGAAGACTTGGATGTGCTGGCCACCACAAGAGCACAGGGCCAAATCATCGTGATGAGCGGGAGGCCAAGAGTCTGTGGGGCTGTCGAGGGAGGTCCAGGACAGGGCTGAATCCCGGCGGGAGAAGCTTGATGGACAGCGCTGGTTGCGCTTGCAGACAGAACGCCGCACCACCTCGGCCATGTGCACCACCGAGATGGCAGCGACTTCTCTATGCGACGAGACGGTTCCCGTCCGGCTGCGTTGGAAGGACGCCATCTCACTGAGAGTGACGGAACTTGTCAAGCCCCCAAAGCGAGATGGGTGGGAGCTGAAACGGCGGCGGCGCGAGCTAGTTCTATTTTCTGTCTGCGGGTCGCCAGCACAGCCTTGGCTGAGAATCGCTCTCGTCCAAACCCGTTGTGCAAACGGCAGCGGGCAAGGGGTCGCGGATCAAAGCCGTCGTGCAGACAATCAGCTGTCGTGGACCAAAAACAAATGTAAAATGCGCCAACACCGCCGTTGACAGTGGCGATAGTACCACACACACACACGTACGGGAACGTAAAGGGGGCGGAGGCGGAGGTGGGCGGATAAGCCAAAAAAAAAAAAAAATTGTATGAACACTTGCGTTTGGGGTGCTGGAGCGGCGGTGTGTCCGAATGCCTTCCTTCACGGCCACGTAGGGCGGTGGCTGTTGAGTTCACCGAGTCACGCTTGTGCCGACGTATCTCCCCAAGGTCGCCGCTGACCCGACTGCCCTTTGCCCCCGCCGCAGTCACTCTCCCTCTATCTACACGGGGCTGCCATTGTTCCGTCAGAACTTTCCTCACCTCACACACCCACACGGATACCCACATACCCACACTGCTGAACACATAAAAGGACGTTTTGGAGGGCACATGTGTACTCTTATATGGGATATATGGGTTCAAAGGGCAAGCACCTTCTCCATAAATTTGCACACGTAGAGGAATGGTCAGTGGAAACAATGGTCAACAATGTCATAACAATGTGTTGGTCACATTGCGTCGGAGGCCATTCCAAGGTGTGTGTGTGTGTGTGTGTGTGTGTGTGTGTGCGTGTGTGTGTGTGTGTCAATGTGATGCGTTGTGCATCTTTCGACTCGTGGCGTTTGACCTCATGGCGGTCATGCTATCAGGTGCTTTGAATCTCCGGCGGTAATGCTTTGAAACGCGTACAAGGCATTGGCAAGAACGTTGCCAGGTTGTTCGGGATCTCAGTGGTGGTGTGTGGGGGGGTTGTTGCCTCGGCAAGCTTGGGGCATTATCGGCGCCTCACAGCTGTCCAGACGACACACATCACCGTGCCCCACCCTTGCACTCGGACCCCAAGCGCGTGCAGCGATCTGAATTGAGATGACAACGGCATCTCCAAAGATGACAACGGCCTTCCTCGCACGCGCGTCGCACGCCCGTATACACGCTCTTGCGCTTCCCCATCTCTCTCTCCAGCGCGAATGGCCACGATCCCAACCAATATTTGTCAGTTTTTCTGCCTACATGTTTGGTTGTTTGGTCCATGTGGGCATGAGCAAAAACCGCACGCTAGGCAGAGGTGTGGTAAAAGCAAGCCAATATAACAACAAAGTGAACACATGGGTGTGATCTTGGTGAGTGTCGTCACCAAAGTTTAAAATGTCATTATCATCCCTTCAGAACCCATCGGCCCCACAAGTGCATGTTACCCAATCGATTCAGTGTCTCTCTCTGTCTCTCTGTCTCTCTCTGGCAAGTTCCTGTTTCATCAGGAGCAGGGGCGGTAACGCAACATGACCCCGTCAGTAACCAACCGTTGCCAGTTATCCAGTTGTCATCCTGATAAAAAAAACACGGAGACACTTTTTCACCTGTTCATCGAGACAACTTCGGTCACGTACCAAGTGTCATCCCCTTATGGTTTGACCGTTGAGATTCGTTCTTCCGTTACAATTTCCGTTGCATTTTCCTTCTCCTCAACGGTGAGTCCCCACCCTTCCTCATTCCTCGCATGCGCTGCCATTTATTGATGCGTGAACCATCTCACCTTGCCTTTCTTTTCTTTGCGTGCAGCCATTATGGCGACTCCTTCTCCGGTGTCTTGTGCAATCTGCAACATGCTTGTCTCGGATTCCAATGAGCAACGCCATGTTCAAACGCACCATTCCACTCCACCCGATCTCCGCCGCCCTTCCGAGTGCTTTCCTTCTCTGAACTGGATTGACTGTCCTGCGCCAGGATGTGTGTGCTCAATGCGCAAGGGCGATCCGCTGATGGCGCACTACATTGAAAGCCATCCTGTACATGCCAACGAAAATTTGACCACCTTTTTTCCCAGCGCTGTTTGCTGCGACTGCGGCCACTGGTCCTTTAATCGCGTCTGCGCCAAAAGGCATCGCTCTATGAAGCATCGTGATGCAATAACGCATCCCCCCAAGGTCAGCTCCCGCGTCTTCGTGCTCGGACATGCACTACGCACAGTGCAATTGATCCTTTGGCAGGCCTGCCTCATGGAACAAATCCCGAACAAGTGCCTCTCAATCTTATTTTCTT